AGTTCACATCCTAATGAGAGGAAGGGCACACCCTCCAGGGAAGCTCAGAGCAGGGGAGGCAACTGGCAGGGAGTCAGCTGGAGAAAGGTGCAGCCAACACCCACAGCAGCCAATGAGGGGTGCATCATCCTGGTGATGGAGATCGAAACAGTGTGCCAACAGCAACTGCTATAGTCAATAATTTAAATATATATATTAAACAGCATAAGAGCCAAACAAAACATACCTTTTTTCCCAGGCAGTGGTGGTTTTCACCCTTTGTAGGGACACAGAATCCAGGTCCAGTGAATCATTGAATTATAAGTCATTGTATGTTTACTATGAGGCTGCCCCCACCCCCACAGATACCTCTGCTGCCTGCTCAGACATCAGCAGGTGGCCAGCATACACCATTCCATCTCCAAATAGCATCTGAACCAAGCACAAAATCTTAACTGAAACACAAGCATGTTGAGGGGCAGGGGTAGATTATTATGATGCAGACCTATTTCCATTGAAGGGAGGATAGCAGATAAGCCTGGTGGACTTTTTAAATTTGCAACACAAAAAAAGCGTATTGATCCTAACTCACCCAGGAGTGGAGAATAAAACATGACAAGGGAAGCTGTTGAGTCCAAACCAGTGTGGCTGATGGGCAGCGTGGCTGGCCTTCATGCGATCTGTCACAGCTAAAGGCAGGGTTTCTCTCCTGTCTCCTTCAGCGACTCTGATATGGGTAGCTCTGGAACCAGAGCAATATCGATTTTCCTTATTTGCTACGTATTCTCTTTTAAAAATAACTGAGTCTAATCCTGTTTCGGTCAGCATAACAGGAAAGCAATCATCTGTTCCTGAGGGTAAAATGAAATCTGATCGAAAAAAAAACCCTGCCAACATTCTATTTCAGTTTTTTGGAACAGATTTTTTTTTTTTAATTTTAATGATAAGTTAAAGCCTTCTTTATGACAGAGGTTTCACTGTCTCCTGTGGCTCAGTCTGTTAGCAATGGGGCTGCCTTCCCAGTCTCCTTTGTTTCCAGAGACCTCTCACTTCCAATTGTCCAGGTATCATTATCACCTGAGGTGTTGTTTTGCCTCAGGTCTGCACTCTACCGCTTTGAATTTTTCCTTTACAGATATTCCCATATGCTTTTTTTTCTGTTCAGCACAACATCCCAGGGGTGTGCAAATGTTGGATGAGAGAGTGCTATTGTGTGGGGCAACTGCCACAGACTCTCCCCAGGCATCTCTGCTGACCTGGGGTGATTTAATGAGTGCCCCAAATCATCCTCTGCTGATTGGCACTGTCCCTCGCTGGTGAGGCTGAGTGATAGCCTCATATTAATTATCAGCTCCAACCCTTAGCCATCTTGTTGCCATTTCTACTCACCATGGGTCCGAAAGCTGGCTGCATATTAGAATCACCTGGTAGGGTGCTTAGAAATCTAATTCCCAGACCCTCTCTGAGTCCTGCCAAATCAGAATTTACCCAGGAATGGGGTTCAGGAAACTTTATTTTTTTATTTATTTTTTTTTGTACGTGAACAATTTTTATTTTATATCCAAACACAAACTACAGCAAAGTTCATCTGACACATGGTTAGTGAATCCTCAGCATTACACAGCATGGAAATACAGAACAGCCAACAAGCCATGCTTGTGTTTGATTATGATCAGTATTGTACTCAGCGAAAATCTGAGCCTCTCCTGCCATTGGTCTGTGGGGGTGGGAGGTGGGGGTTTCATGGGGGTGATGGAGAAGAATACAGAATAACTCCAGAATAAGTTATAAATGGAATTATTCAGATAATCTAACACTTGAAATGTAAGACCAGGAAACAAATTTAGGAGATTCATGAATATCTGAATCTTCTAATATAATATTTTGTTTATCCTATCAGTTAGAATATGGCTTAGGTTCCCGCAATCTCTCTGACCATATAATACCATAGTGAGTCAACATTTCCTTGCAGGAAAGCCAGTCTTCCAGGGTTTCATGCCTTGTAACTACGCAGTCCAACCCAAGAGGCCCTAATGTATAGGACAATATACCAGATAGACAGATTATAGCCATTTAATGGTGCTAAATGTTTAAATTTCTGTATAGCAAGGTAGCCTTTGGTCTGGCTTTCATCTTTCTCATACATCACATTGCTGTTTTAAGGTAAGAAATATTTGACAGTTTTATTAAAAAAGGTAGACAGTCCTAAATCAAAAAAAAATTTAATTTTAATGTAATTCCACATTCCTTAGGTTGAGGGGGTATAAGGATTTTTACCAGCATAAAGATATATCCAGAGAAAATGCTACTGATGGGTTCATATAGTCAAAATTGTTCCTTTGAAGCTCTGAATGTGTATGCAAAAGGAATCCCATATAAAGAAAAGTGGCAGGAAACTTTATTTTAATGAGCTTCCCAGCACTCAGCCCTACATGGGTCCTTAGGCCAAAATAGTGTGGTTTCAACCTGAGGTTCTGTCAACTGGAGAAATCTGGCCTGGAATAAGTCAAATGGAAGCTCATGTAAGAAAGTGAAAAGAGCATTTGCACTCTTCTCCAAGGTCTTAAGGAATGAGATGGGTGGGGGTGGAGTTGAGGTGGAGGTGCAGTGTAAGCCCTGACTGATGCAGGTGGTGTTTTGTTTTGTTTTTTTGTAATGTAAATGCTTCACTTAAGTTTTGCTTGCCAGGCATCCATTTCAAAGAGGCACAATTTGAGAGGCAGCTATCTCAAATAAACACTTTGCCAGCCATACAACTAGATAGAGAGTGGACCACCACCTCGGCACACTGAGGCTCCTTCTCTTTTGAAATGACTAAGTGTCCATCAACTGACGAACGGATCAAGAAGATGTGGTTCATCTATACAGTGGAATACTCCATGACAATGAGAAAGAATGAAATCTGGCCGTGTGTAGCAACATGGATGGACCTTGAGGGTGTTATGCTGAGTGAAATAAGTCAGGCAGAGAAGGACAGATACCATAGGTTTGCACGTATAGGTGGAGTAGGAGGAACTTAATGGAGGACCATGGGCGAGGGGAAGGGGAAAAATAGTTGGGGAGAGGGAGGGAGGCAAACCATGAGAGACTCTTGAATGCTCAGAACAAACTGAGGGCTGATGGGGGTAGGGGAGAAGGGAAGGGGAGTGATGTGCATGGAGGAAGGCACTTTTTGGGATGAGCACTGGGTGTTATATGGAAACCAACTTGACAATAAACCATTTGGGCCACTTGTCTCTTCCCCCATTTTAAATTCCTGTTCTTAAATTTTAAGTTCACCAGTACGGAGTGAGCCTAAGAAACCCTAGCTCTCCCCGCTCCACCCCAATAAAAGCAAAACCTAGGCCCATGCTCTTTCTACCCTATATGGCCTCAGGTGTGCTGTGTAATTTCCAGTTCCTATAACTAATAATCTTTTATTTTCTCTAAGTTTCCTGATGGTTGTTGCCTAAGGGCATCTTCCAGTCATAATAAGAACCACAAGGCCTGGTCCAACCACAACACTGGTTATTGATAGGCTGAGACCAGCACAAAACACACAAAATAGCTCAATTATCCTGTGTGCTGCTTATCTGTTCTCATTCAGCCATCCATTCATCCATCCATCTATCCATCTGTCCATTCAGTCAGACATATATTGAGCTCATGCTCAGCATAGAAGACCCTCAGCAATGAGGTGCTGTAAAGAGGGAACCTCTTAGATCTGTCCTCCAAGTACTCACAGTTCTATCATGAGGTGTTAGCCTATTGTTTTCCCAAGGGGAAATTGGACTGATCTCTCTTCTTAAAAAGAGCAAGCAGGGCTCAGCTCAGAGCCCTCACCGGGTGAGAAAACAATAACATTGATTTTTCTTTTCTTTTTTTTTTTTTTTTTACAAATAGTTTATTGTCAAATTAGTTTCCACATAACAGTGCTCATCCCCACAAGTGTCCTCCTCCATGCCCATCCCCCCCTCCCCCCAACATTGATTTTTCTAAATACGATGGATAAAACTGGGTTTTAATTTATAGCAATGATATATGATTTTCCCTTAAAATAAACCTATTAGTGAATGACATGCTTGAATAGTTCAAACTTGAAATTTAAGAGACTGAATACCAAGTGTGCATGAGGATATGGGCCCTCTGGAGCTCTCACCTTCACTGTGAAGAGAGTGTTAAATGCAGTAAAACCACTTTGGAAGACTGTGTGGCAGTTTCCTATAATTTTAAACATACATATAAATAAGCAGTTCTTTTCCCAGGAATTGGCTCAGGAGGAATGAAGAAATACATCTACGCAAAGACTTGTACACAAATGTTCTTAGCAACTGTATTCATGTATTAAAAGCTGGAAACAGCCACGTTGTCCATCAACAAGAAGATGGATAAACATATTAGTCATCCATACTATAGAATACTGCTCAGTGATAAAAATAAATAGATAGATGAGACTACTTAATGCTCCTTGAAAAAACATAGATGAATCTAAAAACATGCTGATCAAAAAGAGTTAGACACAAGAGTACATATTTATGATTCCATTTATATGAAACTATAGGCTTATCTAATCCACAGTAATATAAAGCAGAGGAGTATTTGTCTGGTGCCCTAGTACTGGCCCTGCTTTCTGGTTAGTTACCTGGGCCCAGGATTCCCAGGCATTCATTCATGCATTTATAACCATGCCTGAGTGCCTACTCTGGGCCAGGCACTGTATTAGATACCATATTAGGTACAGGTCCTCAGGGAGCTCACGGTCTAGCAGGGACAAGAAAAGTAAGTGTGAAGAGGAAGCCCAGGGCCTATAGGCCCTCAGAGGAGAGTCACCGGACCCAGCCTGGGAGACAATGGTGAGGAAACTTTTTAGGAGAAAGTGAAACCTAAGATTTTAACAAGGTAAGTCTAAGGGGTAGTGTAGGGCAGGTCCTTCTAGACTGCCTGGTTAGGATTTCTTTGGAGCTTAGCCTTAGAAGCTGAGAGCCCACTGAGCACCAATTTGCAAAAGCTGATGTGTGACTGCATCCACCCTGCTTTTGTAGGTTTGAGCCATGGCCAAGGAAGCCCGACAGTGCCCCCCTGTCCCAGGTGGAATCCATCCCAGCGACCTCAGCTTCTGCCAGCTCTCCAGCAGTGCCAGTAACGGAGTCTCCCGAAATGGAGCTAAATGGTTTTGTTAAGTAAGTGCAAATGCAAGACCAGAACGGATTTTTTTAAAATAAGTTTTTTTCTCTACACTGACTTACATTATCAAGCCCATCCCTTATTTATTCCTCCAATAGCTCACTAGTCAACAGTTTAGTGCATGACTTGTGTGTGGGGCCCTGGACTGTGCATCTGAAATAGAGTTGAAAAGCATCTATACTCTCAGAGGTGATAGCCTCCTGATTCCTGGAGGACTAAGCCCCTCCTATCACATAACCCTCTTCATCTGTCCAGGGTCAACAGCCAGGGTCAGGTCAAGGGTAGCAAGCAGAAAAGGATATGACAATTGGCCAAACAGTATATCCTCACAATAAAATGCTTTAATGAATAATAAAACTTAACATTGAGCATTGGGGACACAGAAAATTGTCTGAAGCATTGCTAGAGCTTCCCAGACCTTTTTGTAATTGGACATGGGCTTGGTAGGCCAGGAAAGCATGGTTAGAGTCTGTGGAAGATTGACTGGCCTGATGCCCTAGACTCCATGTTTGGGGACAGGGAGTAACAGAACACTGACCAGTTGACCTCGTGAAAAAAGCATGCTTTGAGTGAGAATCCCACTTATCCTTTGGGATACAGTAGAGGAAGAGAGGAAATGGAGCAATGATATAACTGAAGGCTATGTTGGGATGGTTGCCAAATGAGTGACTCTCCACATTTTGTTCAACTCCCCAGGACTATCCTCGTGGATGAAGATGTCGGGCCTGAAGAAAGACAACACAAAAAAGCACAAACACCCATCGTGATCATCTCCGACGTACGGTTTCCTCTCCCTGGGATGGGTTAGCAAGCCAAGGGTCCTTCCTTTAAAACAAAAACAGAGCCAGGGGCAGTGACAAGTGCAAGGCTGGAGTTTGGGTGGGATGAGACTATGGAACTTTACCAGATCACTTCCCAACCAAACACCCGCAGAGCCAACACCCCAGTGAGAGCCATACATCTCACCACATAGATTTTTCTCCATAATGAAAAAGCCATTTACCTCTAAACCTTGGTGCTCTTCCCAGCCCCCAGATAGAGGATACAAAAGGAGAAAGATTTTCCTCCATAATTCCATAGTAAAACAAAGGGGAGATCAAGACAATTTAAAAATTCATATCCTTAAATTCTTCTCCTAGAAGGATGGCCTAAGGAAATCACTGGAGATTTAAAAATTTATGTACAAAGATGTTTGCCACAGCACTTTAGAAATAGCAGAAAATTTTGGGAAAATAAATTACTGTATATCCATGACAATATACAATCTTTTAAAACAGGGTTTGTCTCAGTGGTGGCAGAGCAGGGGGTAAGCAAGCATTTTATACTTTGTAGGTAGGACTATGAATTGGCATAGCCTCTGTGGCATATAATTTGGGGAGTATATCAGAATTTAATGCACATTTCCTCTGCTAGGATACTATCATCCAGATTTGCCTTTACATGTACATAGACACAGACTCTCCTTGCACACTTCAGCTTTGTTGGTAAAGGCAAGAAAAATTGGAAACAACTTGACTCCACCAATAGGAGGCTGACTTGTGTCTGCACAAAGCAATACTATAAAATCTTTTCTTAAAAAAATAAGGAAGTTCTGTAACACTGATTTAAAGCAATCTCCGATATATTCATTAAAAAACAAATGTTCTATATTTATTATTGTATTTTATTTTAATCTAGTATAGTTAATGTACGGTGTTATATTAGTTTCGGGTCTACAATGTAGTGATTCAACAAGTCTGTATATTTTACTTAGGGCTCATCACAATAAGTGTACTCTTAATCACTATCCCCTATTTCACCCATCTCTCTACCCACTTCCCCTCTGGTAACCAGCTGTTTGTCCTCTATACTTAAGAGTCTGTTTTTGGCTTGTCTCTTCTTTTTCTTTGTTCATTTGCTTTTTTCTTAAATTCCATGTATGAGTGAGATCATATGGTATTTGTCATCCTCTGACTGACTTATCTCAGCATTATACTTTCTAAGTCCATCCATGTTGTTGCAAATGGCAAGATTTCATGCTTTTCTTTGGCTGAATATTCTATTGTATGTATATACCACCTCTTTATTCATTCATCTATCAGTGGACACTTGGTCTGTTTCCATAATTTGGCTTTTATAAATAATGCTGCAGTAAACATAGGGGGTGCATACATCCTTTGAAATTAATGTTTTCATATTCTTTGGGTACATACCGAGTAGTAGAATTACTGGATTATATGATAATTCTATTGTTAATTTTTTGAGGAACCTCCACACTGTTTTCCACAGTGTTTAGGCCATTTTGCACTCCCACTGACAGTGCATGAGGGTTCCTTTTTCTCCACATCCTCACCAACACTTGTGGTTGCTTGTGTTTTTTATTTTAGCCATTCTAACAGGTGTGAGGGGATAGCTCATTGTGGTTTGGGTCTGCATAGTTGATGTTGAGCATCTTTTCATGTATCTGTCAGCTACATGTTCTGTTTTTTAAAAGTATTTTAGATAATGCTTGTGAAGAATATTTATGGAAAGGCAGCATTCATATCAATTGAAATATCAAAATACAAATACATACTCTTATATAAACACATTGTACAGACACACAGATGTGTGTGTGTGTGTGTGTGTGTGTGTGTAGTATAACTTAGTAATTTATTTGTATTTCTCTTTGAAGCTTTCTATATTTTCCAATTTTTTAAGAATATATGTATGTATATAAAATACCTTTAAATCTTAATTTTCTTTTTCTGTTTTCAAAGAAGCTGGTCATAGAAGAGTCAAGAATAGAGAAAAATGAGGGGCGCATGGGTGGCTCAGTCAGTTAAGCCTCCCTCTTCGACTCAGGTCATGATCTCACAGTTCATGAGTTTGAGCCCCGCATCAGGCTCTGTGCTGACAACTCAGAGCATGGAGCCTGCTTCGAATTCTGTGTCTCCCTCTCTCTCTGCTCCTCCCCCACTCATGCCCTATCTCTGTCTCTCAAAAATAAACATTAAAAAAAATATTTTTAGGGTCGCCTGGGTGGCTTAGTCGGTTAAGCGTCCGACTTTCGCTTAGGTCATGATCTCGCGGTTCGTGGGTTCAAGCCCCGCGTCGGGCTCTGTGCTGACTGCCAGCTCAGAGCCTGGAGCCTGTTTCAGTCTGTGACTCCCTCTCTCTGACCCTCCCCTGCTCACGCTGTCTCTCTCTCTCTCTCCTAGAAATAATAAAAAAAATTTTTTTTAATAAATAAATAAATAAATATTTTTAAAGAATACAGAAAAATCCTCAAAATTTATGAAAAAAAAGCAAAAATCCTCAAAATTTATGAAAAAGAGCCACTGAAATTTTAGCAAACAACCTCCCAGTAACTCTGTTTGCATACACAAATCTGTGAATTTATACACACTTATACCTTCAGGTGTGATACATGGGCATATGTCATTTTACATAAATGGAAGTGCTTTTTCACTCAATAATATGTTGCACATATGATTCTCAATCCCTAAATATATATATGCTGCCCCATCCTCCATGGACAGAGGAGTGACACACACTCCATTTATTTATTTATTTACTTACTTATTTATTTATTTATTTAAGTTTATTTATTTTGAGAGAGAGAGAGAGAGAGAAATCCCAAGCAGGCTCAGCACCACCAGTGTAGAGCCCAATGCAGGGCTCGAACTCACAAAAGCAGAGACTATGACCCAAGCCAAAACCAAGAGTTGGCACTTAGTGGACTGAGCCACCCACGTGCTCCCTACACACACTCCATTTAAAGTGCTCCCCTATTGGTAGGCATTTAGTTTGCTTCCAAAGTTTTGCTGCTATAAGTAATGCTGCAAAAAACATCCTTGTACATATATATTTGTCCAGTTATTGCCATAAGAAAAAGAAATGTACTATTTTAAAAGTATAGACAACTTACATCCATTTTCTGTCCCTGGTGGGGAGGAGCACATTGATAACTCATTGTGAATGCTTGCTAGTTTTTCCTCCTGCCTCTGATTTCTAGGAATTAAAACTTAATTCTGCTGAAACAGAAAGAATAGACCCAAACCAGAACCAGGTGGAGTTTCAGGAACCCCCATGGAGCTTTGAACGGGAAGAAATGCTTCCCATCGGGGTAGAAGAAGTAAGTAACACCTCATTGGCCCTAAAGTCAGATAATACCCACTCTTCTCACTGAGCACCTGCCCCAGGTTAGAAATCTAAATCCTGCTGGGCCACTCTTCCCCTCATTACCATCATATATGTCCAGGGTGCTGGGATAAGCGCCTTTTATGAGTCAAACAAGTTAAAGTCAGGAATTAATCTATAAATTGACTGAATTTATTCAGTTTTAAGTTTAAATAAATTTAAATTTATTCAGTTTAAGCTACCCTCTGCAGCCCCTTCATCTCGATTGAGGCTCTCCTACAGAATGATTTTCTCTGCAGGTGTTTGATATTCTGCCCCTGTACGGAGTGCTGCAGCCGCATAGTAACCACCAGATATCATTCACCTTCTACGGACACTGTGACATCATTGCACAGGCTAAAGCCCTGTGTGAAGTGGAAGGAGGGCCTACCTATGAGATAATGCTGCGGGGAGAGGCATCCCTGGTCAACTACTTCTTTGACACCAAGGATATTAACTATGGATTACAGGTATTGCCCACAACAGGAAGAAGATTTCCTGGTTTTGCCTTAAACACATATGGTCCTGTGCTCTAACGTGTCCTAGAGCCCCAGATCATCACAATCTCAGCACCACCCCTAACGCTGATCCCTGATCCACCTCTCTAACCCTAATCATCCTACTGCCAACTATTTGCCAGACTTTTTCACTTGCTTATCTGTCTCCTGAAATTCAGCATGTTAGATAGTAAAACTTGCATCTTCCTTCTCAATCCAGAAGCCCATATCAACCTTTCCTGTTTCTTCAATAGCACCACCACCTTCTCAGTACCTTGAGTTTAGTCTCCAAGCATTTTCCACTGCACCCTCCCTTTCACATCCCCACATCCTACAAGCATTCAGGTTAACTGATTCATCAAGCAGGATCCCTCTGTGTAAGTTTTCCCTTCCCATGGCCACTGTGGTTGTCCAGGGGTTCATCAAGCCATTACTAAGATATTAGAGCAGTTCTTCTCAAACCATAATGTGCTTACAAATCACCTGGGAATCTTGTTCTAGTACAGATTCTGACTCAGTAGGTCCAGCATAAAGCCTCAGAATCTGCATTTCTCTCAGGCTTCCAGGTGATGCCAAGGACTCCATGGAAGCAAGGGGTCACACCACACTCATGGATTCTACCACTACCCCATCTAAACAGCATTGGCACATAGATTTTCCCCAAATTGCATTTTCATCCTATCAACCCTCAGTGATTAACCCTAGCAGCATTTAGGAAGCAACATAGTATTGAGAAAAAAATTGAGTATTCTTCCCAGTCAGAAGAATGGGATGGTATCCCAGTTTTGCTTCCTACTGACTTTGTAACCTTGAGCATATCACCTAACCCCTCCAAGCCTCAGTACCCCTCATCTATCAACTAGGAATGGGGTACCACCAGGTGCTTGTGGTCATTAAAATGTCTGGTATACTGTGCATAGGTCAGAGAAGGCCTCCAATCATGAGTTCATTTCTCCATCATCCATTGGATCAGAGCCAAGCTCCTCCACCTAGGTGAGGGGATCCTAAGCCCCTCTATTAACTGATGCTCCTTACACATTAAATTTGGTTTCTCTTAGTTTCCCGTTATAGCCCATTCATCCATTTGTGGCCAAACTGGTTTGCCCACTGACCCTAATGCATCCCAGTCCTTCTTGCCTCAATATTTCCTCTTATATAATCTGTCTCATCCTCCACTCTGCCAACCCAAAATCTACACATACTGTAAGATTCAGCTCAGCTCTATCCTTTAGTTAATCTTTTTCTTATCTTGCATTATCTTGGTGTTTAAGTGTATTCTTTGCCATAATATAATGTACATTCTAATTTTTGATTCAGAATAATTGTTAATTTTATATCTGTACATCTTCTTTTGCCAATTAGATTTTCTCAGATCTCCTATATAGCTAGTGTATGGATAATTATTGAATTGTGTGTGTACATGTGTGTTTATAGGTTAAAAATTGTGCCTAAAAGCAAATTCACCCAACACCTATTAAGGCTTTGTCCATTGAGTTGACCAAATGCAATTCCCTTTCATTCCTTATCTCCAGGGTCTCCTGGGAAATTGGTTCTGGATCATCTCAGAGTGTATTCTTTGAAACAGCCAGTCTTTGCCCTAGCTTATCCTAAGAACCCCCGAAGTGGCCTCATTTTATGGTTATTGGGCCTGCTGCTCAGTGGCTGAATTGTGTCAGTAAAATCTCAGGAAAAAGAACATGTCTTGCCTACTGTTTCTCTCCATATAAGTAGAAAATTCTAATTCTAGACTCAAATCTTATTCCAAAAAGTAAATAAGCAAATATTAGTATAGGAAAGCTTACTTTTAAGATACTCTGTAATGAGTTATTTGTAGTGAAGAAACTCAGGTTCAGAGGGTTAGAATGCCCCACACACAGGCCTACTAACCTAAACTAGGTGTTGGAGGACCTAACACAGAGCCAGGTATACAGGGTCTGATTCTCCTCCAGCTCCAGAGGGCACTTTTTGATGCTAGCGAAATGTGGATTGGCCAGCATCTGAATCAGGAGAGATGAAATCTCTGTGTGTGACATGTATTTGTCCACCCACCTTTGCCAGGATGATAGTAGCATCCCAAAGGATGGCTGATAGCTGTCACTCTTCTTCTCTCAAGCTGTTTGACCATGTCACAGAGAATGAAATCACACTGAAGAACACTGGGAAAGTTGGCTTTGAGTTCAAGGTTCTGACAGACCACTTGTCTTCACCAGACAACCTTCTGCCCGGAGTGCCCCTAATCGTGCCCAAGTCCGTAAGTAACCTTCTGCCGACAATGGTAGGAGGGACCCAAGTTCAAACCTGCAGTCACAACCCCGTGGCACATGATTACATTAAACATTCACTGCTGGGATTATGGGTATTATTTTTTTAACTAAAAATAAGTTCTCAGAAGTCAATAATAATATATAATTATTATATTATTATGTATTATTATTATTAATAAATTCAAGCACTTTACTTATTTATTAAACAAGTATTTATTGACTCCAGCCAGGCACTGTACAGGCACCAGGGGCTCCACTGTGAACAAGACAATATAACCCCATGGATTTTTTTTCATGACTATAAGAATAGTTTATTTCTACTTCTGTCCTCATACTTCCCTCGTAAATCCTTAAAGCCAAGGGATTCCTCACCACTTATCTTTATCAATCCTTTTTTAAATACACTTTTATTATACATGTATGTATCCTTAAACAGAGTACTTTTAGTTTATTAATTTACTAAAATTTTTAAGCACCTACTATGACGAGGCATTTTTCTAGCACTGAGCATAGCATAGCATAACAAACAAAACAACTATACTTGATCCCAAAACTTGGAAATTTTGTTTTATGGGATTTTACTTTATTATTGAGTTTTATGAAAATAGCATCAGTAATGTAATTTTGTGCATTTTGCTTTTCTCATCCAGTATTGTCTTTCTAGGAATAGTGCCCATTGTCACATGTAGCTATAGTTCATTTATTTTCACAATTAAATAATATCCCTTCTATAACTATATTGAAAGCAATTTTTCTCTTTCCTGTCAAAGCATTTGGAAATTTTCCTCCAAAAATTTTGCTAATAGAAACAGCCCTGCTACAAATATTCTTGTATCTGTCTCCTGATCTATAAATGGAAGAATTTTTCTTAGGAAATTTTCTTAGGAATGAAATTTCTGGGTCATGGGGTATGCAGATATTCAATTTGATAATAAGACAGTGCTAAAATGTTTTCACAATGTTTTCCCCCAATTGGCATCCCCACCAGACGTTTACATACTCTCCAAAATTTAGTAAATTTTGTTAATATGTGGTTTCAAAAATTTCATTATGATCCTAGTTTCATTTCCCTGATTGCTTATGAGATTGAGCAGATTTTACTGCATTTATTTACCATTCATATTTCTCCTTTTATTAAATACCTGTTCACATATACTACCTATATTTATATTGCTTACTTGTCATTTTCTGATAGCTTCATAGCCATTAATCTTGGGGGAAAGGGTGGGAATAGAGAATAACTAGCACGAGAGGCCTGTGGGACTGTCTAGTCATTAAATCTCCAGAAGCAGGAGTCCATTGTAAATATTAACATTCTGATCTTTCTCCTCTGTAGGGTTTTATCAGTTCACATAAAGAGCAGGTATTGAAGGTTTACTACTTACCTGGAGTACCTGAGGTCTTTCATAGGAGTTTCCGGATACAAATTGCCCACCTGGACCCAGAATATATTACTCTGCATGGAGAGGGAATCTTTCCCCGAATCTGCCTCGATCTCCCCAGGAAACTTCAAGGTATTACTACCTACTATAGTATTTCCCTACTAGGGAACAAAAGGTACATTTTAGCTTTGCTTATTTGAAGGCTGACTGATACTCACATGATTTGCTTGGCAGTCCTCACTAGTTCACGTCTGTGTTATTCCTCAATTCTAAAAAAAAAAAAAAAAAAAATCAAGTTGAAATTGATTTGGTGACCTGTATTTACAGGATGTGGTCCATGGCAGTCCCAAATTAAGACCCCTGGCCAATTTTACCATCATTGAATTACATGTAGAGGAATCAGAAAGTTGCACTTCAAAAGGTCTTTTCCTCCAGGACACATTCTTTCCAGCTACAATCTCTCCCTGAATTGTCCCTACTGTGGCATACTCACAGATGACCACTGAGAGGTGAAGTCTGATTTTACTCCAAGGAGTAGAATTCATAAAATATAAACTGTACAGAAAGGCAACCAAGGTTCTGACCCCTTCCTTATTTTGGCATCACATAGTTTGAGGACTAAGTTAAACTTTTATTAGTTGTCTGCGCACATGCTTAGCCAAAATTTTTCTGGTAACATCTAGCCCCTGGAGCCATTCCCTCTGTACCAGAAGACCCATCTTGGCAAATCCCAAAGTTCAGCTGAGCAGCTCTCTTGACCATGGACTCTCTGGCTCCTTCTTCCTGATGTGAGATACAGGATGAAGAGTGAAGACAAAGTTCTCACTCTTCTTTGTGACTTCTTTGAGCTCCTTGAAATCTGTGTTCTACAGACAGCTTTGCACTAAACCCTCACACTGAGCCTTTCCTCCTCTCCTGATCCCCAAAGTCACTGGCTCACCTATTGGTGGTCATCCATTATACCCTAACTGCTCCCTAAATGTACAACACAAATATTAGTAAATCTAACACCATGTTACACTCTAGCATCTAGGGTTCCAGCCCACCAAAAGTTAGTCCAGCTCCATGTGTAACTGTCAGGAAGGAAAGTCTTTGCCACTTGGTTGAAAACCAAATGCCTGGCTGGCCTTATGAAGGCAGTAGACATGTTTGGCCAGCAGAGGGCTTTTGAAAAATTGAGATCTGAATACTATTAGTTCCAAATACTATTCGTTGGGTATCCCATGCTCCCATTCATCACAAGTATAGTGCTTCCTATAGCTCCATAGTAGGCACTTTATTTTCTCTGCCTACCTTATCCCTCTAGCATTCGAATTTGCACTGGCTTACTGGTGAATGTAGATGTCTGAAATCTTTCCACTGATTGCCTGCCTCTCTGATTTGGGGGACTGGAGCTTGTTTAGTTACAGGTAGAGTTGCAGATATAGTCATTTAGCTTACTGAGATTTAACAAACATGCAAAGTCACTTAAAGGATGACTGGCCATGTAGGTGTGTACAGCACAGAAGGCATGCCCAGATCATGCAGCATTCAGTACTAGAGTCAGGAAAGCATCAAGGGAGCCGGGATCTGGTTGATCACCATATGTGTGACTTAGGATGTTACTCCCATCAAGTTCTTGCAAGCCAGCTGGTAGCTCCCTAAAGCATAATCACATTAAGCTCATTGGGGTCTCTGCTACAAACTGAACTCACTCACAAATTATGTCACCCTCTGAAGCAGAGAAAACATGGCAGGCAAAGCACCAGAAAGTTCACTTCCCTTCTGACTTTATCGACCCTAAGCTGAAAGTCTGTGTTTTAGGCATAATTCATATATGTCTAACTATCCTAATTGCTTTCTCCTTACAATCCCACAGGAAATGAAAAGTATGAAACCTTCTTGAATCAGGCCAGAAAAAACCTAGGAAAAGACAACAACTGTGAAACACTTGATCACTTAGAGATAACTGAGGAATTGCCTGATGATGAATCTTCTGAGGTAAGATTCACTTCACCCTGCGCAGAATGAATGTGGGAGAACGGTAGGTGCAAAGACCCAGGGGCAAGAAGGACATGGTCTCTCCGAGGAACAGAAAGGAGAAGAAGCTATAGCTAGAGCAAAGAAGGAGGAGAGGTAAGAACCCCCTAGTGAACCTAATTAAGGGTTTTGAACTTTCTGAGCAAGCAAGTCACTGAAGTGTTTCAAGTGGAGCCTGGGGTAATCAGAATTGCATCTTTAAAAAATCTCTCTGGCTGCTTTGTGAAGCCCTGAGAAGCTCTCAGGGGTTTTGAGGGGAGGGGGGCAGTGAAATAAGAGTAGATGTGCTGAGATGTGCTCAGTTTTTAAAAGATGATGGAGTAACTTTAGATGAGAGATGGTGGCAGTGTCAACAAGGGTAATAACATAAGAGGTGGAAAGAATCAAGTAGATTCAAGAAATACTCTGGAGGTAGAATAGTCAGTGATTAGGGATTAGTTGGATATGGGGATGAGGCTGAGGTGCCCCCACCCCAAGGGTCTTGCTTGAAGGACAAAGTAAGGAGGAGGACTGAGATGGGAAACTCACAAGGAGAAGCAAGTTTGGGGGGAGAGGGAGAAGAGACATGAGTTCTGATGGTTTGTTATTATACATGAGATTTCTAAGCATCATCCAAGTGAGACTCCCACAGGGAGCTGGCCCCACAGGCTAGGGACCTGAGGAGAGAGACAGGCCAGAGAACGTGCTTTGAGTTACCAGATGGTCATTGTGATCACAAGAAATGGTGAGATTCCCTGGGAAGTGTACTGAGTGAACAGGGAAGAGGGTAGATTCAGAAAAGAACCCTCTGCTCGAGCTAAGTAGGGGAGGGGGCACCTGAAGAGGTCTAGCCTGGTGCCTCCAAGGTGGGAGCCAAGCCAAGAGTTGGTCTCTCCAAGGAGAGAGTGGCCCAGCTTGTAAATAAAGGCTGTCCCACCCCAGTGGAAAGTGAAAGCAAAATCCCAAAATCTCTTCCCTCATCAGTTCCCTGAAATTCTTCTCTTTATAGTCCATTCCTGACCATAAAGCCTGCCTTCTCCCTGTGCTCATCTTTTATTTTTTTAAATGTTTGTTTGTTTTTGAGAGAGCACAGTGAGGGAGGGGAAGAGGGGGACAGAAGATCCCAAAACCACCTCTGCACTCACTGAAGCGAGCCTCCATTTCACCAACCACAAGATCATGACCATTGAGAACTGAAGTCCACTCCTCAACCAACTGAGTCCCCCAGGTGCCCCTCCCTGTGCTCATCTTCTAAAATGCAAATGTTCATAAGACTATGGTCATGAAGAAGAATTACAAATGTAGCCAGAGAGCCCTTAGACTGGTTAAGACACTGGGAAGACTGGGAGCCCCAAAAGTCACCAGCAATGACTTGTTTTGCGTAAGTGGAAAGTGCACCTTAACTACAGGAATGATCATAATTACTAACACAAGCTACCATTTATTGAACTGCTGTCCAGGCCTGTGCCATGCTACTGACCTACATTATTATTTCATTAACCCCTCCCACAGTGGAGGGGGCAGTATGGTGCCATTATTGTCTTAATTTTACCGTTTTATAGAACTTGGGGAAGTGAACTACTGGTCCCAAGGCAGGCAGCAGAGCTAGGATTTGAATCCAGGCCTGTCCAACTCCTAAAACCGTGTTCTTAGCCTCTGTCCTCTCCCACTGGGCCCCCAGCTGTCCATGAGGGGCAGCAGTGTGTCCCCAACCTGCTCACTACATTCCCAGGTGGCTCCTGATCAGAGCCATAGCACCCCTGTCTCTGACAGCCACCTCAGGCTTCGGGTGGGGCTTCTGTGATGAAGTAGAGGCAGAGCCAGCTGGTCCCCTGCACTGGCAAGGCTCCACCTCTTATGGCTCAGGAGCAAGCATAGGGTCTGCTCTGCTCGAGTCTAGATGACTGGGGACACCTGTAGGTGAGGCACACTCCTCTCCCACCGTGTCACCACTTCCCTTGGTCTCATTACAGGCCACTCCATACATTCCTGCTGGGCCTCAGACTTAAGGTTTGAGTTTTCTGGAAGTATTTCTCAACCTTTTTTCACTACCACCTCCCAAGACTTTTTTTTTCCCCTAATACCCCATGAGATATTTGTATTATGTATAAAAAACATAATCTCTTTGAAGAGTTTGATGTTACTTTTTTTTTAAACTTTATATTTTGAAATAATGATAGATTCGCAGAAAGTTGCAAAAAAAATTGTTTTCTCCACTGGTAACATCTTACATAATTGTAGTACATCAAAACCAGGAAACAGTCATGGGTACCAACCACAGACCTTATTCTGATTTCAATTTTATATGCACTCGCACATGCACACGCACGCATGTGTGCGGTTCTATGCAATTTTTTGCATATGTAGGTTTGTGTAACTCCCACCACAATTAAGATACACAACTGTTTCATCACCACAAAGATCCCTTGTGCTGAATAAAACTGAATAAAAAACAAAATCTCCTTCCAGCCCAGAAAATCTCTCCACAAAGATAGAAGAGAAAGAAAACAATTTTATTATTGACTAAGCATTAAACCAGAATGTGATCCATGTTACAGGCAGTTTGCTAAGAGACTGCAAAGAGAGAAAGAAATCTCAGCCTGGTATTCAGCCAGATAAAACCTGTTAACATCCATATTCTTGAGGTGAAGAGTAACTAGTCCTTAAGTAAGAACTATAACTCACTATAACTAGTCCTCAAGAAAGAGCACTTGACAGCACCATCCGTCACCGCATAGTTCATCCTAAATGCACATGGTAATTGAGGTGACCATCTGTATTGGACAATTGGCTTTATCCAGAGGGAACCTCTCATATTTGTATGGCCGGGCCCTCTGAAGTCAGGCTCCTAATCTCTCACAGAAACTGGGAGATTATATCTCAAAGAGAAGCTTCCCAGGACCTTGAGGAAGACACTCCTGGATTATAAAGCTGACTAGATTTATATGCATTTCCAAAAGATAGAGAAAGAACTTACAAATTTTGTAAAGTAAGTGTTCCAAGAAAAGGGAGTGGGGAGAAGCCCCCACCCTTATTTTCACCAAGGAGAACAAAGCCTATTGTTTTTCCACTTTATTTGGCCTAATAAGCTACTCCTTCATAGCCACACACCCCCAATCTCTTATCCCTTACACCTGGCAAACACTATAGTTCTCCATCTCTATACTTTTGTTATTTCAAGAATATTCTGTAAATGGAATTACATTGTATGTAACCTTTTGATACTGGCTTTTTTTTTTCATTGAGCATAATGCCCTTGAGATCCATCAAATTAATAGTTCATTCCTTTTTATTGTTGAGTAGTATTCCATGATATAGATGTACCAGTTTCTTTACCCCGTCCAACACCCCTGTGAAAAGTTTAATATCACAACTGTACTGTATATCTGTTTATGTACTGTGGCCTTTTGGAATGCCATAAATCATTGTAATAGCTGAAATTTTTTCATTCCCCCATGAAGCAATTTATTTCCCTCTTAGGTGATTTGACCCCATTGAGAATGCATGTTCTAGAACAATTTGGTCACTTGTTTTTTTCTCTTGCTCCAGTTAAGTCCTCAGCTCCAGATGGAAGTAGAGCGACTTATAGTCCAAGGCTATTCTATAGAGCATCAGAAAACAATTATCCCCGATTCCACAGATGACTTCAGCTATCAGAGTCGTCGCAGACTAGCCAAGTGAGTATTCTTCCATGGTAGGCTTGTTTCAGAGGATAGCAGAGCAAACAGTGCTGCTGCCCACCAGAATGCTGCCTGAATCAGTTAATGGTTGATTGTCTAGAAATGAAATCTACTTACCTTCTAGCATCCAGCCAACCAGGCAAGTCTCTGCCTCTGAAAGTCAGAAACCTCTGGCTTTGTCTAATGGATAGGCCTGGCTGCAGGCTCGTGTGGGCCTACACTGAATGTGTTTTGAGATAATGGTTGAAAGAGTAGTGTGGACTTTGGGGGGGAGGGAGTAATCATTTTTCTAACCTCCTGTCTGGAGGGTGGTTGTTCTACCTCCCCTCCAGTTCTGAGGTCAAAACTGTGCACAGGAGATAGAAGAGACCAGCACAATCACTCTTTTGGAAAAGTGACTTGTTAACTGTTTCAGAGTCCAGCTGCCAGAGTATATCCTGGACTTTGGCTACATCATCCTTGGGGACATCCGAACACACATCATCAAGATCACCAATACCAGTCACTTCCCAGTGTCCTTCCACGCAGAAAAGCGCGCCCTTCATGACACAGGTAACCAGGCTGGGGAGACTATTTCCTCTGTGGTTTGTCATTTCTAACAAGGTGCCCATCTGTACTGATCTTCTGGAGTAGTGTTCATGCTTCTTCCGGGATCAGCTAAAAGAATTCTTGGGCCATTAATTGATACTTTGAATGGTCATCCTGTCCCAGAAGGGCCCTATCTACTGCAGCTCTTATTTGCCATTACTTTTTCCCACAAAGAAATTTTGTTTATCTTGGTCCAGGTTTCAGTACTGAGTTAGATCGTGTAAAAAATCTGCCTTACTGTGAAACAGAAACATTCGAAGTGAAATTTGACCCACAAGGGGCCAATCTCTCCATTGGAAACAAAGAGGTCATTCTACCCATCAAGGTAAGATGCACTGCTGCACCCCACTGATCTTCCCCCGCTACCAGCTCAGCTTGCCAGTTACCCCTAGGATGAATCAGTTACTATTGCAGAGCCACGATTCTTCTCCCCAACCACATGCCACAAGGTAACAGCAATTTTATGCCCATTCTAGGTGGTTGGAGGGCCAACAGTTCACATCTGTCTCCAAGCCAAGGTGACCATTCCTGCTCTGACACTGTCTTGTGAAAAAGTGGAGTTTCCCACAATACAATGTGGACAGTGCCTCGTGGAAACTATTCAGTTTTCCAATAATCTCCAAGTCCCTTGTGAATGGTTTGTCCTGAGCCTTAAGCCAGTTAACAAGGTAAATGGGTTGTGACCCATTGGTCCCCTTTTTCCCATCTCCATTTCAGCAAGATTTTGAATTCTGGGCCTTCACTTTCATTATTTCACTCTTCTGCCCAAGACTTGCACTGACAATCATGGCTTCCTAAATACAATCTAGGCCCTTAGCCAGCATTCAAGGACTTACCACACCATGCTATCTGGTGGATATCTTACTCATCTCTGTAGCCCTGGTACCTATACATTCCCTGATACCTGGAAGGGACTCAGTAAATGTAGGCTGGGTGAGTGGAGGGTGGAATAAATTTGCTTTCCATAAAAGATGATCTAATTGTCTAATTCTCTACTAACCAGCTGGAGAAACACATGCCAAAGTACTTGAGACAGAAACTACGTGCTGAATTAAAGCCAAAGACACGAATCTTTGAGATCCAACCCACTTCTGGGGTCTTGGATCCTGGTGAGAGGTCCAACGTGCAAGTGAAATTCATGCCTAAAGAAGAGGTAAGCCTTAAAGAAATATGGTTTCATTCAGAGTCTCTGGGTCTCTTTGAACTTTACTCAAAGGCCACTCTTGATTAGGCAGGACTCTAGGGAATTTTTGAGTGACCTTTCCCTCACTATTGTAATAAGGACATCAAGTGCTTGTTTCATGTAGGAGCTGTGTGGCCTGGTAGTTAAGAACACCAGCTCCAGAATCAGATCTGTCTAGTGTATTGACTTTTATCAGCAGACCTGAGTTAGTGGCCTTCTGCTTCTGTACTGAGAGACTTCATGACTTTGAGTAAATTCCTTACCCTCACTAAACCTCAATTTGCTCACAGATAAAATGAAAAATAATAATATCACATGTCAAAAATCTCTTATTGCAATTTTAAAATCCAATAAGCTCCAGAAACTGGGGGAGAAAATTTTGTATGTTTCAGACTCAAGCTCATTTGGTAGAAAAACCTCATCCTAACTGACAGGAGACTACATAACCTTTATTTATTTCACTTAGTTTGCAGAGTCAAACATTATAACTGCAGAAATATTAGTGTTTTCCTACACTGTTGGTGGGAATGTAAACTGGTGCAACCCCTCTGGAAAACAGTATGGAGTTTCCTCAAAAAATTAACAATAGAACTCCCCAATGACCCAGCAATTGCACTGCTAGGAATTTACCCAAGGGATCCAGGAGTGCTGATGCTTAGGGGCACATGTACCCCAGTGTTCATAGCAGCACTTTCAACGGTGGCCAAAATATGGAAAGAGCCTAAGTGTCCATCAATGGACAAATGGATCAAGAAGAAGTGGTTTATCTATACAATGGAATACTACATGGCAATGAGAAAGAATGAAATCTGGCCATGTGTAGCAACATGGATGGAACTTGAAGGTGTTAATGCTGAGTAAAGTAAGTCAGGCTGAGAAGGACAGATACCATATGTTTGCACGTATAGGTGGATTAGGAGGAACTTAACAGAGGACCATGGGGGAAAAGAAGGGGAAAAATAGTTGGGGAGAGAGAGAGGGAGGCAAACCATGAGAGACTCTTGAATGCTAAGAACAAACTGAGGGCTGATGGGGGCCAGGGAGAGAGGGGAAGGGGGTTGATGGGAATGGAGGAGGGCACTTGTTGGGATGAGCACTGGGTGTTATATGGAAACCAACTTGACAATAAACTATTTAATAAAAAAAAAAAAGAAATATTAGTGTTTGATTATAGGGGACCAGCCTCCAGCCCTGCTGAGGACATTATGTAACATGGGGTCTATACACAGTGTTTACCTTTTTGAAACTCTAAATTTGAAATCATCTGGCCCCTAGGGTTTCAGCTAAGACAGTATCAACCTGCAATAGCTACTTCCTAGGATCATTTTGAAGATTACATGAATTTATTATGTGAATAAAATACATGGCATACTTCTCTCTATGTAGTATCTCAATAACTATTTACTGTTATCATTAATAGTTAGGGTAATAATAAGCCCTTACTGGTAGATGTACTCCCTGGGCTTCACAAACACTTCTTTTGTGAATGCCATTAGCACAGAGCTTTACAATAAAAGTAAAGTCTGGAGCGCCAGGGTGGCTCAGTCGGTTAAGTGTCCGACTTCAGCTCAGGTCATGATCTCATGGTTCATGAGTTTGAGCCCCACATTGAGCTCTGTGCTGACAGCTCAGAGCCTGGAGCCTGCTTGGATTCTGTGTCTACCTCTCTCTCTACCCCTCCCCTGCTTGTGCTCTGTCTCTCAAAAATAAATAAATATTAAATAATTTTTTCATAAAATAAAATCCTAGAGCCAGAGAGGGCCCTGAAGAGGTTATACTGTAAAGACTTGTGCTGAAAGCATAAGGCATTAGGGACATGTCTTTCTCTACTTTATTCTTTTAAAAGAAAAAACTCAAAGTGGGTTTCACAGAATACCTACAGTTAACTCCCCTTTTCCTGGTAATGGAAATGCTTTGAAGAAATGTTTAAGAGTCTATAGTGAGAAAGAAGAAAAGCGAATGACTTCATATCTGAATCTTTTTTAAAAAGCCCCTGTTTCTTGCATTATCAGTATCTCCCCAACCCCAACCCTTTCAAAAGAAAAGAGAATTAATATGTTTGTCATTCTTAGAGAGTCTTGGGAGCTTTACTGTCGGGGTTGTCAAGATTTTAGGTAGTTTACTAAATGAGAGACATATCAGTAAGTAAGTTAAAAAAATAGGTTTGTTCAGATGATTCCATATATGTTGAGTTGGAATTGGTCGAAGTTAATAAAATGTTTCTACCAATTGGGAGGGTAAATTATTGGCTGTATACAAGGAATTGGTTAACTTTGCAACCCATACAGTCCCCATCTATCTTCAGCATCAGTAGCACAAGAGAAATGACTGATATTATAAGATATGTGCAGAATACTGTGTTAGAAAACAAGGAAATGAATGAAATGTTTTTGAAGTATTTCCATAAGAAGCAATTAAAATATAGAAGTTTGGGTCAGAAGGTGCTAAGCCTGTAACTATATAGAAAATCCTTTTAGCCAATAATTTATTCTCTTACTGTCTCTATCAATAGATATTTTCTGGGTGTGTATGTATGTCCATACACATTCCATTCATCTGATTTTCCCCCTGAGCTAAGATAGTTAAGATCGCTTCAAATCATGAAGCCAATCATGGCCTTCAAACCCAAGCCATGACCACAACTGTATCAGAATGGCCTGAACATCTGGTTAAAAATGCAGAATTCCAGCCTTACTCTGCCCCTATCAAGTTGGGATCTCTAGGGTTGGGGCCTGTGAATCCACATTTTTAATAAGTCCCAGTGAAAACCAGATTAGGATAACTGATATCACTATTAACTGGTACTCAGATTGTAATTATATCTGATAAACTGAATGCCTCAGCTGATCATCCCTGACCCACTGCCTAAGTGTGTTTTCAAATAATTTCCATACATTAATTCAGATTCTCTATGAAACAGACTTGAACAAGGATTCAAGTGCAAACAGATTATTTGGGAAGTGTAGGGAACCCTGATGGAGAAGTAGAAGGTGGTCAGGGAAAGAAAGGCAGCTAATAAGGCATGTGAATGAACCAGCTGCCTTGGAGGCTGGAACATAAACCTACTGGGAACTCTGAGGAAGTAGACAAAATGCACATTTCAGAATTATCCCTTCCCAAGAGCAAGGGACCTGTGGTATTTATGTGGTAGCTTCTGAGTCATTGGTTGAGAATTCCTCCTGGAAAGGATTAATCCCCTGCAATTCTGCTCCACCCATGAAATAGAGCCCAGAGATGCAGATAGTAACACATCTGAGCACAATGGAAGGTCTGAAGGATATGAGTGTGGCATTCAGAGGGCCTTTTACAAGTGATGATGCACTTTGTAGAGTGCCTAGCATGCAAGAAACCTAGCATTAATATAGTAATATAAATTGCTCTTATATAATTTTACATGAAAAGTTTTCTCTCTTAATCTAAGTAGGATCAATTTTTGTCCCCACAGTGGTTTTCAGGTTACCGAGCATATAACACAAAACGTTAAGATGCTTGTTTTGGTTTTTACATTTTCCAGAAACTCTACAGCCAAACCCTGGTTTTCCAGATTGCCCAGAGTCCTCAGAAGCTTACGCTGCTGGCACAGGGGCAAGGTCTAGAGCCACGCTTGGAATTCACTCCCTCAGTTCTGGAGCTGGGGCCCCTGTTGCCTTATGCACCTGGAGACGAGGCTGAGGTGGTGGTGAAGAATCCCTGCAACTTTCCCATTGAGTTTTACTCCTTAGAATTTGACCAGCAGTATCTCCTTGAAGAGAAGGTGAGCAGAGGCCAAAACCAAATTTCATTTTCCTAACCCTGCTAGGTCCTATCATGTACCTATGCTCTTCTGTCTGCAAGGACAACTTCCTCCTTGTCAATTTAAAGATCACTTTGTAGCCTTCCCTGACCCTTGCCCTGAGCAGAATTCATTACTTCTTTGTGATCTCATTACACATTTTAAACAACTGATTGAAAAACCAATATGTGCTCATGGTTAAAATTTAAACAGTAAAAAATGTATGTTGCCATCATATTTGAAGTGAGTTTTTGGCAGACAGCATGTAATTGAGTCTTTTTATTTTTTTTATTTATTTTTTATTTTTTTACAAATAGTTTATTGTCAAATTATTTTGCACATAACACCCAGTGCTCATCCCCACGAGTGCCCTCCTCCATGCCCATCCCCCCTCCCCCCACATCCATCAGTTCTCAGTTTTTGTCAGCATTCAAGAGTCTCTCATGGTTTGCCTCTCTCCCTTTCCCCCACCCTTTCCCCCCTTCTTCTCCCCCTTGTTCCTCAGTTAAGGAGCACATGTACCCCAATGTTCATAGCAGCACTCTCAACAATAGCCAAAACATGGAAAGAGCCTAAGTGTCCATCAATGGATGAATGGATCAAGAAGATGTGGTTTATCTCTACCATGGAATACTACATGGCAATGAGAAACAATGAAATCTGGCCATGTGTAGCAACATGGATGGGCCTATAGGTGTTATGCTGAATGAAATAAGTCAGGCAGAGAAGGACAAATATCATATGTTTGCACGTATAGGAGGATTAGGAGGAACTTAACTGAGTAATTGAGTCTTTTTAGAAAAATAGACTCTGACAGTCTCTGTCCCTAATTAGTATATTTAGACCATTTACATTTAATAAAATTATATTAGGGCTTAAATCTGCCACTTTTTTCTCTTTGTTCAGGGCTATATATTTTCCAATTGTTCCCCCATGTACTTGTTTTAAACTTTTTTTTAGAGCAGTTTTAGGTTCACACCAAAATTGAGGGGAAGGTACAGATAGTTCCCATATACCCCTTGCTCCACACACATACATACCTTCCTCCATTATCAACATCCCCCACTACAGTGGTACATTTGTTACAATTGATGAATCTACATAATTGATACTTCATAATCACCCAAAATCCACAGTTTACATTAGGGATCACTCTTGGTGTTGTACATTCTTTGCGTTTGGACAAATGTATAATGACATGTATCCAACATTATAGTATCATACAGAGTATTTTCACTCCCCTAAAAATCCTCTGTGCTCTGCCTATTCATCCCTTCCTACCCCCCAACCCCTGGCAGCCACTGATCATTTTACAATCTCCATAGTTTGGCCTTTTCCAGAATATCATATAATTGCAATCATACAGTAGACCTTTTCAGATGGTTTGCTTTCATTTAGTAATATGCACTTACATTTCCTCCATGGCTTGATAGATCATTTCTTTTTATTTTTATTTTTATTTTTATTTTTTTAATGGTTTTTTATTTATTTGTAGGAGAGAGAGAGACAGCGTGAGCAGGGGAGGGTCAGAGAGAGAGGGAGTCACAGACTGAAACAGGCTCCAGGCTCTGAGCTGGCAGTCAGCACAGAGCCCGACGCGGGGCTCGAACCCACGAACCGCGAGATCATGACCTAAGCGAAAGTCGGACGCTCAACCGACTAAGCCACCCAGGCGCCCCAAGATCATTTCTTTTTAGCACTAAATTATATTCCATTGTCTGGACATAGCAGACTATTTATCCATTCACCTACTAAAGGACATCTCGGTTGTTTCCAGATTTGGGCAGTTATAAATGAAGCGTCCATAAACATCCACATGCAGATTTTGTGTGGACATAAATTTTTATCTCCTTTGGATAAGTACCAAGTAGCACAGTTGCCAGATCATATGGTAAAAGTACATTTAGTTTTATAAGAAACTGCCAGATTAACATCCGGAGTGGTCATACCATTTTGCATTCCCACCAGCAGAGAGTGAAAGTTCCTGTTGTTCCTCATTCTCATCAACATTGGTTGTTGTCAGTGTTTGGATTTTGGTCATTCTAGTAAGTCTATAGTGGTATCTCATTTCAATTTGTATTTCCCTGATGACATATGATGTGGAGCATCTATTCATATGCTGATTTGCCATCTGTATATCTTCTTCAGTGAGGTGTCTGTTAAGGTTTTTGGCTCATTTTTTAATTGGATGGTTTGTTTTCTCATTGTTATGTTTTAAGAGTTCTTGAAATATTTTTAATAACAGAAATTTATCACATGCATCTTTCGCAAATATTTTCTCCCAGTCTGTAACTTATCTTTTCACTCACTTGACATTGTCTTTTGCAGAGAAGAGGTTTTTAATTTTAAGAAAGTCCACCTTCTCAATTATTATTTTCATGAACCATGCCTTTGGTGTTGTATCTAAAATGTCATCACCACACCCTAGGTCACTGTTATAGCACCCTCTAGGAGTTTTATAATTGTATGGATTTTGTTTCGGCCTATGATTCATTTTAAGCTTTGTGAAAGATGTGGGGTCCATCTAGATTTAGGTTTTTGTGTGTGGATGTCTGGGTCCAGCATTTAGGTGGAAAAACTATCTTTGCTCATTGTATTGCATTTGCTCCTTTGGCAAAGGTCAACTGACTATATGGGTCTACTTATAGGATCTCTGTTCCGTTCCACTTCATCTATCCAGGTCCATTTTTACTGTCTCTACCCTGCTCTGCTACCTTGAGGCTGAGCTGTATGAACTACACCTTTATCTAATATGCTTAGTACTCTACTTTCTAGAAACTTCCTCTTAGTTCCCTACTGTGAGCAATTATGAAATGAGCCACTAATTTCTTTTTCTCTCTCCTTACCACCCTCTAATTTAAGATGACATTCTTTTAAAATTTATTTTGTAATGTTTGTTTATTTTTGAGAGAGAGACAGTGAGAGCCAGGGAGGGTCAGAGAGAGAGACACACACAGAATCCGAAACAGGCTCCAGGCTCTGAGCCATCAGCACACAGCCCAATGAGGGGCTTGAACTCATGAACCACAAGACCATGACTTGAGTCAAAGTTGGACGCTTAACCTACTGAACCACCCAGGCACCCCTAAAATGATATTCTTTTAAATTAATACCTGCTGGGTAATAATCTCACGTACACTCCCTCCATGTTTTTGCTTTTTGTGTTATACCTCTTGTGTCAGAGCTTATAATATTCATATGCAGAACCTGATTTCTATCACTTAGTTTTAGTTCTGTATTTAATATATTCAATGTTCAACACCAGTCCTTGTGATGAAGCTTCTCCAGTAACCACTCTATTGTCTGAAACTCATTCTCTAGTGGATTCCTCAGATAGGATCATGGGAACAGTATTCCCTGAGTACACATATGTTCATCAATATTTATCTGTGGCTTTTACACTTGAAGATAAATTTGGCTGGATACAATATCCTTGGCTCACATTTTATGCACTTGAATATATTAAATGCATAGCTCCATTGTTTTCTCCTAAGGTTTTGCTGTTCATGAAGTCATGCTTTTTTGCTTATTAATTAGTTATCTGTTGGTACAAAACAAATTCCCTCAAGCTTAGCAACTCAAAACAATAAAAATTTGTTATCTCATGTTGTCTGTGAGTCAGGAAATTTGGGAATGGCTTAGCTAAGGAGGTTCTGCTTCCTCTGGACCCTCCCCCAACTCAGCCTTTAAATCTTCTGTCTTCTTTATATCTAATATTTATGCTCTGCCCAATTTAGATTCTGTATCTCGAAGTTTTTTGCAGAAGGGGAATTTGTCCCTCTGGAAAGGAGGCTTTTCATTAGGTATTCATTAAATGCTCAATGGCTTGTGTTGGCACTGCATCCTCTGTTGTGGGCCAGGTTCAACGCAAAGCAGAGTCTAAAACTCTGAGATGTGTATGCAGGTTTCATAGGGAACACTCTCAGGAGCAACAGCAGTGAAGAATAAGGCAAGCAGTGCAGGGCCAAGAGATGAGCTGTGATGAGATTACAACAGAGACCTCAGCAGACCCCACAGGAAGCTCTAGTGCTGGGCTGTCTCTTTAGAATTGCCCCAGTTGAACCAAGTTTGCAAGGCCCTGTGTGTCTCCATCACCCAGTCTTTAGAATATTCCTTCCTTTTGCCCACTGGCCTGCCATGCCACCTCTGTCGTGAATCAAAGCTCCATATATGAGGGGGTCTATTCTAAGCTCTCTTTTCTATATTATATCATTGATCAGTTTGTCTATCCCAACATCAATCCCACGCTGTCTATTACTCCAGTTTCAACAGTCTTAATATCTAGTAGGGAAATCCTCTCTTTTTCTTCTTCATTAATTTTTTAACTATTCTTTTTTCTTTTTCTTTTTTTTACCATTTTTTATATTGAAGTATAATTAACATACTGGATTATTAATTTCAATTGTTGTAAATATTCTTAGCCCTCTGTTCATCCATATAAATATGAGATTGAGCTTCTTAACAGTGGTTTTCACACAACTAAAACTAGTGATCCTGGAGAAAGGATCAAAACAGATTTTTCACATAGTTTGGGCCATACAGAAAGTGATTGCTTTCTAGAACCTTATTACACTATGTTTTACAAATACACATACACACTAGGGTTACCAGATTTAGTAGAAAAAAAGACAAGTTACGCAGTTAAGTTTTGAATTTCAGATAAAAATCATATGACTTATATTATGTGAACATTTTTGTACTAAGAAAATTATTCATTGTTTATCTAAAATTCAGGTTAAACTGGGCATCCCATATTTTATCTGATAACCCTAATACACATTCCTTCCCTACCCCCACACACCCAACACAAACTCACGCACACACATACTTAGTACCATTTTACATGTTTCTCCCTGGATCCTCTATCTGTGACACAACCACCGTCCTTACTTGTATAATCTTTCTAGCTACAGTATTTTTCAAGAACAAGTCACTCAAAGTGGATACCGGAGTTCTGTACTTTTGTCAATGGAAAAATAGAAAGAAAAATAGTATATGATATTTGTAAAACAAGAGGAAAATTCTCTTCCAAATGTGAAACACCCAGGGTCAAGTGGGGTAAAACTCAAGATCCCGTATCCCCAGATTCAGGACCCACCCTTACTTTCTAGACCTCTCCAAAGAACCCTTGTACAGGCAGGAGCAGGGGTTTTAGCCGGTGGGTAAGCAGACCCTCTGAGGACTGTCAGGAGGAAGCTTCTAGCATGACCAACAGCAGTTCCTGTTGTCCTCTTGCAGATCTTGCGAATGCTGAAGGGCTACGATTCCTACAACACCCTGCTGCTGCCTCCCCGCTTTCCGGGGGAAAAGCTACCCCCCGAGGTTTATGAGTACTTTAAGGAGATGAAGCGGTCAAAAGAGGAGCAGATGAAGGCGAAGTTTCTGGAGAGTCTGGCCCAGGAAAATGGTGAGAGGTCAGGGCCGAGAGCCTGGCTTCAGCCACCGCGCTGTCGCCCTGGAAGTATCCCTGCTAGGCGGCCGGCCAGTTACCGAGCTGCTGCCAGATGATGGGCACATGCTGGTGCTTCACCTGTTTCATCTGTAACCCTCACAAAACGGGCCTGTTCTCCCCACTGTTTGAGTGCAGAGACAGGGATACATTCTGCTCCCACTAGAGTCTACTGGCAAGTTCAGGCTTAAAAACAGCTAATATAGGGGCGCCTGGGTGGCTTAGTCGGTTAAGCGTCCGACTTTCGCTCAGGTCATGATCTCGCGGTTCGTGGGTTCGAGCCCCGCGTCGGGCTCTGTGCTGACTGCCAGCTCAGAGCCTGGAGCCTGTTTCGGTCTGTGACTCCCTCTCTCTCT